AGATGTGGAATTTTAGGACAGCTGTGCTCTGGGGTACTCACCAATGTCCCCTACTGATCAGATAGCGGAGGCCACGCCAGCCTAGGAGGAAGGAGACTGGATGGACCCTGTGAACTGTCTTTGGCCACCAGGCTGATGTCCTCCCCACCTACCTTCCCGTGCTCACCCCTCACCACGTTTCCTTTAAAAGAAGAGCCCAGGCACCAAACTCTCTCACTCTCAAGCGGGCTGCAAATCTCACCCAAAGGATATTCCTTGCTTTCCCAAGTAAATTTCCTTGCCTCTAACTGACACATCCTTAATTTCATCTCCGCAATGTTGTCAGGAACCCCTTTCCCCTGAGTAGAGGTTTCCCTCTATGGGAACTCCTTGGATCTCCCCTGGAGACAGGAGGCTGGCCTTTGTACAGAGTCTGCATTTTGTGGGTCTAACTTTTATTATTATTATTATTATTATTATTTATTTATTTTTAAATATGTATTCATTTTGCTTAGGTATATATGACAGCTAAATGCATTTTGACTCATTGTACACAATTACAGCACAACTTTTCATTTCTCTGGTTGTACACAATGTAGCGTCACACCCTATGTGCAGTCTTACATGCACCTAGGGTAATGATGTCCACCTCATTCCAACATCTTTACTGCCCCCGGGCACCTTCCCCACCCTCCCTCCCCTTTGCCCAATCAAAGTTTCTCCATTTTTCCCATACCTCCCCATTCTCCATTTTGGATCAGCATCCGCTTATCAGAGAGGACATTTGATCTTTGGTTTTCGGCATTGGCTAACTTCACTTAGCTTGATATTCTCCAACTCCATCCATTGACCTGAAAATCCCATGATTTTATTCTTTTAATGCTGAGCAATATTCCATTGTGTATATATACCACAGTTTCTTTATCCATCCATCTATTGAAGGGCATCTAGGATGCTATGAATATTGATGTGGCTGCGTTACTATACTATGCTTATTTTAAGTCCTTTGGGTATAGACCGAGGAGTGGGATGGCTGGGTCAAATGGTGGTTCTATTCCAAGTTTTCTAAGTAACCTCCATACTGCTTTCCAGATTGGTTGCACCAATTTGTAGTCCCACCAGCAATGTATGAGTGTGCCTTTCCCCCCACATCCTTGCCAACACTTATTGTTATCTGTATTCTTGATAACTGCCTTTCTGACTGGCTTGAGATGAAATCTTAGAGTAGTTTTGATTTGCATTTCACTAATGCTTCGACTTCCTTAACAAGACTCCTAAAGCACAAGAAATAAAATCAAGAATTATTAAATGGGATGGTCTCAAACCAAAAGGCTTCTTCTCAGCAAAAGAAACAACCAATGAGGTGAAGAGAGAGCCTACATTTGGGGATCAAAATTTTGCCACCCTTGTGTCAAATAGATAGAGCACTAATCTCCAGGATATATAAAGAACTCAAAAAACTTAACACCAAAAACCAGACAATCCAATCAATAAATGGACCAAGGAACTGAACAGACACTTCTCAGAAGAGGATATATAATTAATCAACAAATATGTGAAAAAATGTTCAACATTTCTAGAAATACAAATCAAAACTACTCTAAGATTTCATCTCATGCCAGGTAGAATGGCAGATATCAAGGATACAGACAACAATAAGTGTTGTAGGTCTTTTTCAACACGCATTTTCCCATTGACCATGTTGGATTTTACAGATGCCCAAGAGAATGTTCATTTAGTGCTACCAAAGAAAGATATCAGGCCATATTAACGCTTTTGTTTTCAAATTACTTTTTATCATTGAACAGCTGACTACAGAGGAGCAGAGGAGGCCCGGAGGGATAGGATGACCAGCCATAGCCATCCGCCTGGGCTGGGGAATTTCCTAGCACCTTCAGTGAAGGAATAACTTGAGGTAACATTTCTATTAAGTCACTTTTGCATTTTTTCATAATTTTTGAGCTATCTGGTTAAAGGATGCACAAGCCCTAAAACAGCCTCCCTATTTTCCCTGAGCAGGAATTCTCTGGGTTGAGGTTGATGGCAGGAAAAAGGGGAAGCTTCAGGTGGAGGTTGGAGGTGTGCTCAGTCCGACCGTCTCTCCCAAGGGACCTAGGAACAATGAGAGACAAGGGATTCTGCAACCAAATTCATTCTTTTTGTGATTCTTGCTGTCTGGGCTCTGCAAAGCAAAGTGAGATCTCCATGCTAGGCCTTCCCAGAGGTCAGGTCGCTTGTCATTTTAAATCTTGACTTAATTTCCTTATCTTCTAAAGACTCCCTTTTCCTGGAATGTCTACGGTCCTTCTCTGATTCCACCTATAGAAACTTTGTAGGTTAGAGTCGATTGTTCCTGCCTCTGGAAGCCTACCAACAGCTCTGGGGGGAACTGCCCTTCCTGTGGGCTTCTCGAGTACTCGAGTGGACTAGCACTGACATACCAGAGCATGGTTAGCTATGTGTCTCTTTCTGCTCAACAGTAATTTGCCTAGTGTGGGGACTATGGGGCCTTCTTAATTCAGCAAGGAGAAGGCACCAAATTTAGTTACTAATCAAACTAAATTAACACAACATCAGTAACAAAGGGTTAGTGATAACCAAACCCTGCCAAGATCCCCTGGCCCTTTGAGTAACTTATCACGAGCAGAGTAAATCACATGCATCTTAAATTCCCAATTTTCATCCTGAGATTCCTGATTTTATTTGGGCTGGGAGACTGGTGGAGTGGAGGAGGAAGTCGGGGAACTAAAGCAGTGAGGGATACTTGGAGCTTTAAGCACCATCGGAAGGGAAGCGCCCAGCATTCCCACGGTGAGCTCTGGTTGCTGATTTGCCTGCATTCCCGAGAGGGCCTGTTACTGCATCTGGGGGCCACTTCCAGTGGCCTGCTGCCCCTGCCCTGGGGTATGGCCACTTCCCTGGCAGGTGCAGAAAGATGTCAGCTCCTAGGGCCCCCTTCTTCCCTGAGCCAAAGACCGACTTGGCAGGAGGGTGAAAGCCCAGCCCCTTACCTTGGATGCTGATTTCACTCAGAACTCCCCCTGGGATCGGGCAGAGATGGACTTGGCCTTGGTTACCACGGTGCCCTGGCTTTCTTCCTCCCGTGACTTGCTCCTCTGTACCCCTTTGGGTTACCCCAGGAGGACTTCCTTAACAAATCGCACATGTATCTTGTCCCGAGTTTTGTTTCTAGAGAACCTACCTAGGACAGGAGTGCAGTTTCATGGCTGCCTAAGGCAAGCTTCTTGCCACGAAGGACAAGAGCAAGCAGGTCCTCGCCTTTGGCCTATAGTCTTGCAAGGGTTAAAATGGTCACAGTTGACTTTGCACAGCTGGCTGTATCTCCAGGTGCCATTTTGCCCACCTCTGGGTAGGGACAATGGGACCACACCAGAGGCAACCATGTTGGCCATGTTGGGCTTTACCTGTGGGTCTCTGAGCCCATGTAGTTCTGGGAGGTTCTGAGTCCTAACAACTGGCATAGCTCTCCAGAAATAGCTCTCTATCTAACCCGACTTAAGCAGAATCTATTCAAAGGTAAAAATGTATTTTTTTTCTTCTCTCATCACACTTCAAGGTATTTTTTATGTCTCAACTCAAGCCAAGATGGGAATTGGAAGCGCTACAGCATTTTTTTTTTTCCCTTTTGGAAATTATTCTTGGGAAATGGGGCTCTTGAAGATGCTGGTGCTTATAAACTTTTCTACCCAGGACTCAGCTGTCTTCCCAGAGATTCGTATGGAAGTGCAGGTTTTAGATGTATGTTCTGTGCAGAGTTGAGACGTACAAGTCTTGCTTTCCATTAGCTGGAGGAAGAAAGAAAGAGGGGTGGGAAGAAAGATAAAAGGTAAAGAAAAGGAGGGAGGGAAAAAAAGAGAGAGGAACGGGGGAGAGAAGGTGGAAAACAAGATGATTTGGTGATTAATTATGTTTGGTTTTATTTTAGGCTGAAAGATCAGTAACATATTCCCTCTTCAATTGCAAAATGATTAGCTGTTTCATGAGATCTTATTCAGTAAATCCCAGGCCCTAGCCCTGATAACCATGTTAAGAAACAGATTTTACTCCCTGGATGGGACGGATATTGGGGGACAAGATATCATTGTCAGGACTGAAAGTTTTCTTATTTACCTCAGCCTCAAAAATTCCCAGAAATCGACAGATCATTCCATTATTAAAACACACAAAACAAAGTCTGTCCCCTAAAACAGATGTCTCAGAGAGGGTCATTCTAGAATTTTCTTACTCACCTACCAAGCCCTCCAGTCATGCCTTTCTAATGCTTCACCTTCTTTGGTGAATTTGGTCAGATGGGCAACCTAATGGTTGGTATGTCACAAAATGAGAACAGGCAAGCCCCACCAAAGTGAACAATATTGTCCTAACATTTAATTTTTTATGATATTCGTGCTACTTAGGCATCATTTTCTTCTTGTATCATCTTCAAGGCTGTGTCATGAATGAATATCAGGTCTCCTGTGCGTGATCCTGCAGAACACAACTCGCTAGAGTGCTAAGCTATGATCATATTACTTGATGCTGAAAGGAATGTACACATGCATATGTATGTCCACAATAGTCTAATTTGAGAAAAATGTAGAATAATATAAAGTGCATGGACTAAAAGTTAGAAGAGCTGTTTTGAGCCTGAAGTCATAGCTCTGTAGCTCTGTGACTTTGGTCAAATCACTTACCCTCTCTGTTTTTAATTTCCTTGCCCTTAAAAGATGACAAATCATGCTTATATTTTGGTCTGAGGTCAAAGTAATAATGTCTTTAAAAGTCTTATATGGTGAGAGAATATTCAAGGTTAATTTGCTAATGGAAGCTGAATCTGGATATAGCCATCAAATAAAAGAAGGTAAGAATTAAAGTTTGATTATCGTAAATCAAATCCTCCATTTACAATCTTTCATCATTCCATCTTGGCAAATGTGGTGTGTGTATGTGTGCATGTGTGTGTGCGTGTGTGTGCATGTGTGTGCATGTGCGAGTGTGTGTGTGCGTGTGTGTGGGTTGCACGTGTGCGTGTGTGTGCATGTGTGTGCGTGTGCGTGTGTGTGTGCGTGTGTGTGTGTGTGTGTGTGCTTTCTTTCTTTTGAGGGTCCGTGCCATGCCAGGTATCCCTGGAAGCTTGAACTGTGATGAGGATGAGGTTGGTAACCAGGACAGCTGTGGTCAAGCTCCAAAATGGAACACAGACAGTCAATGACAGCGTTTGAGGGGCTGGTAAGTGCCACACACAATAGAAAGGCGTGCTGAGATGCAGGATTGGTTTGGGGGCCCCCTCAGATGCGGACCTCCTGGGCAGGTGCCATGTGGGTGAAGACCTGATGGGTGATAAGGAGTTGGGCCGTGAATGAGGAGCAGAGAGAGGACATGTGGGCAGAGTTGTCTGGACAGGGGACATGTGAGTCTGTCACTGTCCCCTCTGTGACAGACACCTTGCTCCTCCTGACATAACCTTTGCACCAGCCACCTCTTAGGATTTCCTGGGATAATCGAACGTTCTGCCGCAGGAAGGCCAGGAAAGCCTGCGCTCCGTGGACTGCCCGACCAGGTGGCTGCAGGAGGACCCCTGGTGTGGGAAGGACCCGTAGCTGGGCCATCGAAAGACACTCACTGCCTGGTTTACAGGGGACCCCAGAAGACCCCTCCTTAGGCATCTGCACCAAGGATGTCACCACCTCTCACAAAAAGGCTGGACCCTAGGTAAGTCCTGTATGAATCCCCAGCCTCATCCCCACGATCCGGAAGAACCCAGTTTTCCCTATTTATCTGTCCAACTATTTTATGTGTTCCCCCTCCCCCCAATTAGGGAATAAAAAGGCAATAGAAAAACCAGAAAACGACGTTGCCCTCGGTGACATTCGGCTTAGGCTTCCTGGCCCAGGTTTGGTTCCTGCGGGTGTGGCCTGCTTGCCCCGGGAGGTGGGAGTTCTGTGAATGTGCATCTGAGGCGAGGAGAGGGGAAAGACGGAGAACAGAACTTGAGGTGGGGAGAGCTTGCTGGGAAAGGTCATCTGGTTATTTGTTTGTAGTTTCCTTAGGTAAAGGGACCTTAAAAACGGCTTTGATAAGAGTGGCCGAGGTTTCCTCAGAGATTAACTGGCATGCTTTAAAAAGGGCATCTGCCCTGTTTTGCACAGGTGTCTGGAGAGCCGGGGACTGGGTGCCCCTGGAGTCCTGTGCTGGGCTGTAGGTTTCCTTAAGACCTGCAGACACCGCTGACATCATGGACTCCATTCTCAGATTCCTTCTCTCTCTCTCCTCTCTCTCTCTCTCTCTCTCTCTCTCTCTTCCCTTCCTCCCTCCTTCTCTGTCCCTCCCTCCTCCACTGCCCAATCTCTCCCAATCTCTTTCTCTCTTCAGTTCCTTCAGGTAATTCCTCCTCAAACTTGAACCAACTTGTTTTTGACTGACACTGAGCAGTGAGAGAGTCCTCTTCCTCTGGAGAAACCCTCAGCACCCACCTTCCCCAGGGCAACCTGCGTCCACTGAGCCTTCCCTTGGCTGCCACAATTCCACGTCTGTCCAGGAGCCTGCGCCCTCCGTCTCTGCAGGTAAGAGGCACACGCTTGTGCCTACGCTGGGGCGTGCAGCGTTTTAGAGGTATTTTTGAAAAACTTTCCTTCTAAAGGCAATGAGAAAGTTGAGATTCTTTTGAAACTTAACTTAAATCATTCAAGACGTCCAGGCTTATCTGGGGGAAGTTAACAAGTGTTGTTTGCTTGTGGAAAACGGGTTTTTCCCTTAATGATGGGGCAAAGGAAAAAGAGCACTTTATTCTTGCCTGTGAAACAGTATCCAGATGTTGTCTTGCTTGCCGCGGGTGTAAGGGGTCTAGATCACGGGAGAGGAGTGACTTTGACTTCTCTCTGCAAGTGTTTTTCTATCACAGCGTCTGTCGGAGCCTGGTTTTCAGCGATTCTATAGCTCTTTGGCTAATTCTCTAGCAGTCATTTTCCTTTGTGGGTGAAGAAATCAGTTTAGGTTGCCGTAAGGCGAAACCTCATGGGAATATTTTAAAATCTGTTACCTATCCTTATGAGAAAAGAGGTTACGTAAGTCTTCTGTGGTAGGTAGAAGGAATGTAAACAGTGCTGACTTTGGAAACACTGTGAACTTGGTCCACGACCCATTGATAATGCTTTTTGTAATCTGTGTATGATTTCAAGCGAGTTTGGACTATTCTGAGCTAAGAAATGCTACCCTGGGTGAAATCTGCCCGTGGTTCCTGTAAAGCCTACTTTGTCCCCTCTCTACTTCCGCATTTCGTTGCCTGGAGGAAATCAGAATTTGTTGTTCCACAGACGTTCCTTGACCTCACGACTGATTCCAGTTACAGGTTAGGAAACTTACAAGAAATGCAATACTTCAACTCCAGGGAACAAAAGACCCCAAATTTCTACTGAAATGTTCAGGTTAACTTCTTTTCATCTAAACCTATCTTAATTTCCCCCACTTGACCTGTCAGAAGGATTTTGAAAGACTCAGGAGTGACTCTCCACGTTCCTTTCCTGCAACCCCGAAATCCCCCACTCTCCCCACTCACACACAGTGGTTGTCCTTCCAGACTCTTCCCCGCTTTGTCCCTCGTGAATGTTTAAACAACTAGGTCACAGTCAGTCACAGCCTTAGGTGATAAAGCCTCTGCAATTTAAAATTGTCCTAAAACTGAAAGAAAATGTCACATGAAGCTATAACGCACTTTTCAATGTCATCCTCTTGTGAGAACCAGATAGAGACTCGGGAGACCTCCGGCTGAGCCATCACGCACTCACCTGGGAGCTCCAGAGCTTGCCCTTGCCACACCTTCCTGGGCTATCTTTCAGCACTCTTCCTCATCCCTGGCCGTCTGTCACATGGTGGACGGCTACGCAGGGAGCCAGCCAGGGGTCACCCGGTGCTCTTCGCAGGAGGCTGACGAGCGAAGGGTTGACCAGGCTGCTGGGTCCTGCCTCAGAATGCTCACCAGGTCTGGAGCAGCCTTTTCTTGTCTGGATTCAATAGATGCCGAAGTGGTTGGGGAGCTTTGGAGAACAGTGTTGGTGGCATTTTTTATTCTGGTGGCTTAAGGAAACGCGTTTCTGAAAAGCCCTCCTTCCTTCTGCCCACTCCTTCCTCCCACCCAGAGTTGTGGTCATTTTTACACAAAGTGCTATTTCCCCAGTTTCCTCTCCTCACACTTACAACCAGTGCAGACAGCCTGTGTTTTGGGGGGAAGAGAGAGTGGGACCCCAGGCTTCACGTGCCAGCAGTCCCGAGCCAACAAAAGCAGGTCTCTTGGCTCCTTCCCCCAGGGCTGAGCATGCCCCGCTTTGTGCTGCACTGCGCTTCGGAAATCCTGAACGGCTGCCTGTTCTTTCTTGGGGTGTGTCTGTGTGTGTGTGTGTGTGTGCATGTGTGTGTGTGTAATTATACACCTGAATGATAGCAACACGCTGGATATAAGAAAGCCCGCACATGTGTGCTTTTAGCACCAAACAGATCCCTTCCTGCCCAGTCTCTCCCATCTGTTCGAGGCATGGCACAGCCCCCTGACGTTTTTGCACATGTTGCTTTGGAGCCCAGGGTTAAGTCCAGGGTGTATTTGTATGTGCATCAGTATCTCAGAACCAAAAAAGCAGTCCACAGAGTGGGCAAGGCACAGCTGAATGGCCTGCCCCTGGCAACACTGGTTGCAGGGCACACCCTCCCGAGTTGCTTCCTTGCTTTAATGTACAAGTAAGGACCTCCTGTCCTCCCCTGCAGCAGTTTGAGCTTTTCACACCAGAGTAAATCCGGTATCTTCAAACGTGTTGTTTTAATTCTTCTTTCAAGTAAAAATAGCTCCACTCCAAAAATAGGAAGCTATTGCAAGGATTAATGTTAGCTTTTATGTTTGTAAAAAAGCTGGTTGATTATTAATGGGCAAATGCAAGAGGCAAACCAGACAAGGATACCGTCCACGCTCTCATGAGCTCTTCACCTCTGCTCCCCAGGAGCCACCAGGGTGGGTCTTGCTCTGGCCTCTCAAGGACACAGTGCCCTGGAAGGGAGCAGGTGTGACCCACACACCTGGCTCTTTGTTACCACTCAGGTAACTTCCTGGTTCCTGTTCTACACACAGGATAAGGAGCTGTGTGACCAGCAGTCCTTCAGAGGCAAGTCCTAGAAGTGCTAAAGCTTCCCTAAAGTAAGGAGCAAAGAGACCCTGCTCCCCATCTTGAAAGGCGGGATTGATGGCAGAGAGAGAGAAAGAGAGAAACGACAATAATAATTAATAATTTTGAAATAAAGGCTCTGAGAAAGAAGTTTTATTTACTAAGTGCTACTTTCTTAGATGAAAGGGGAAAAAACAAGAACACAGACATTCCTGAGAGAAGACAAATGACAAGTGACAGATGTAACCTCCACCAAATGCTCTCTGGATCCGTTCAGACCATGGTGGGCCCACTCCTGATCCAACCGGGATCCACCTGGTGCAGTGTGCCACATTCCCAGGGACTTGGTGGAAAACATCGATGCTCCTCCTGTAAAGAGAAGGCCGCGCTCCGTGAGCGAGTAGGTCCAGCTGTCCCTGTGATGGGCACTGTCTTTCAAAGCCAATGGCCCTGGAGACCCCATTTGACTGGAGAAGTTCACCCAGGCCTAATTCCAGAACACAACCTGGGTTTCTAGACCTAACGTTCTATCTAGAGCAGGAAATTCCAGATATTTCGGCCACACTCTCAAGATGGATCAGAGTGGCCTGGTCATGCTCACATCACACACAAGAAGAAAGCCAGCTTTCCATCTAGGTACAAAAGTGCATGCCAGCCCATCCCTCACCCCATGCTTGTCCAGTAGGTGACAGAGTCTGTGTCCCCTCGGGCCTGAGGAGACCATGGAAGCAATTAGCAGCACAGGGAGCGGTGACTTTGTTGGTCCTTCCCCATGACCCTGCGGCTCCAACTTGGAGCAGTCCAGACCTGATTAAGATAAGCAGGTCCTGGGCTGGTGGAAGACAATAACAGCACTGCCTGTCCACAGTGTCACCCAGAGGCCGGAGTTCAGGGTAATGACGGCCTGAGCCCGACACGTTTCTGGGACTGCAGGCCACACTAACCACTGAGGCACCAGGGCTGATGGTGAGGACCAGCACCAGGTCTCGGGGTGCTGAGGGGCCATCCACGTCCTGTTCCACTCAGAGCTGCCCTGGAGTTCGGCTGATGGTTGTGAAATTCCTGTGCATTTTCTCTAGTGCTTCTGCAAGAGGCTGATTGAGATTTGGTAGCACTTAAAGATTATACAGCTTTTTCTTCAAGGAAAATGAGTGCACAATTGTGGATGCCAACTTGGACAAGGCTCTGGAGAAGGGAGAGTTCCATCAGCTGCATGATCAAGCCATTCTGTATCTCACAAGACAAGGCCCCAAACGTGTTTCTTGAATGAAGGAATGAATCAATTTATGCAAGCTGCTGGTTACTCAGTAACTCTGAGAAATGAAACGCTAAAATGCCCAGTAGTTGTACTTACCCGTATCTAATGATCAGTGGTATATGAGAACTCAGTCCGCACGGTGTCTGGGATACTGCACGTTGCCATGAAGGGTAGATTCCTATCCTCCATGCAACCTTAGGTCCTATCCCGGCCCCAGGGAAAGATGCTATCAGGGCTGTTTTCCTAGAGCAGAGAGTGTGGGCATGGAAGTTAATGGTCCATGCTCCTCACGTGGAAAGCCCCTAACTTAAAACCCCGAGAAGGGTTTCCTAGTCATGAGCTGAGCACCAGAATGATGTTAGAGAATCACAATATTCTCCTTGAATGGACTTGGAGCATGTGCCCCGGCGTAAGATCCGTGTGTCTGGCAAGGTGCTCCTTCCTCCCCTTTGGTTTTTATTAATGCTGTTTCCAATTTCCGACGGCAGTTAACAGGGTCATTTCTTGCTTCGAACGCTTGCTAAACCTGTGCCCCCCCGCAGGCCAAATAATGTTCTCACTCCACGATGTTTATGCGTTCAACTCTGTGCAGATTGATCTCTTGCTTTCTCTTCTAGGCCAAAGAATACACAGTCAGGTCCCCAAACCTTGCTTTCCTAATTTACTACCTAAGTTACCATTTGTGTCTATTCCTACGTTTCAAGAAAAACCAGAGAAGTTTATACCTTACTTCGAATGTTCAGGAAACTTGGCAGCCTGCTGGCTTTGCTCCCAACCCAAACCTGGGCACCTGCTGGGAGAGAAGCTATTGGAACCCTGAAACACCTGGCTGCTTGTGTCTGTAAATACTGAGGAATGAGAACCGCACCCAGATTCCTTTATATTTCCAGAAGTCCATGGAAAGAATTTTTAAACAAACAGTTAGCTACATCACACACCAACCTAAATAGGCAGTGATGAAGTCGCTGTGGGTGTGCCTTTAGCGAGAGCATCAGCCATGACACAGACTGCACAGGAGTGGAGCCTGTTCCAATACCAAGAGCTTCTCCATACTTTATTTTTGCTTTATTTCGAGTACTTTGTTTATTAAATGTCAAAACTATGATTTCAACCAAAGGTCCATATTAAAGACAAAATGGAAAAAAAAAAATAAAAGGCC